AAGCAATGAATTTAATATTTATATTTTTTATATATTACTTCATGTGAATTTACATGAATTTTTGAAGTACATAATACATACATAAATTCCTGTTTGAACAATGTTATATGAATTGTTTTGCAATTAAATCTGAAAGTGGTGAGTATTAAGGACATAATAAAATTAAAAATTTACAAAATAGCTACCCACTCCATTGAGCGGACACCTCTCATGGGCGGACAAAAGTTGACTGACGGTGAGTGTCCGCCCAAGGGAGTTTTCACTGTACTTATAAACTTTAGCCGCAAACTGTACGATGGCTGTTTTTTTTTAATTTAACTTTAGTTAATTTACTTTAAATTCACATATACACAAACTTATGCCGCAAAACTGTACGATGGCCTCTTTCAATTTAACTTTAGTTTATTTACTTTAAATTCACATAGGTTTTTTTGTTTAAAGACTGCGCCAGTTATAATATTTAATAAATCAAACACGAATTTTATATTCTTATTAATATATATACATATATATATAATTTACAGAGATTGGTTGGCACCGTTCAAATATATAAGTCCACCCGCTTTCAAGAACCAAATAAGAATAATGATATGTGATTCTATTATTGCTGAATAAGTAGGAAAGTAATGCCCATGAATAATAGGGTGAATAATAGAATATGTAACTTCTGAATAGTGAATAAGTACAAAAAGTGATGACCATAAATAATAGGGTCAATAATACAATATGTAACTCAGGCGCTTTTGAGGGAGCTATTAGAAAATTACTCACACTGGTCAACTGACAAGAGTTCGCAGTTCTCTTTATGTACACAACGAGTATATCCTATGCCCCAGGATTGTCTGGAAAGATATGAGAAACGCTGCGGAGTTATACTCACATCAAATACATAGTTTTTACACAAATATTATTTAAATATTTTTTTTTATAAAATTGGAAACATTTAATAATGTATTGATACAATAATTAATATTTTGGACAAAACTAATTAAATTTAATAATTAGGAATTTAAATAATCGAAAAATATTTGAATATTTTATAAAAATATTGTTAAAGTTATCAATTTTAAAACCAAACACGGCAACACACTATAGCAGATTTGAGACATTTTAACGTTTTAGTAGTAGAATATTTGGGGGCAACCCGTACCAAGTGACAATTAATAGCAGAATATTTGGGTGCAACCCGAACCAAGTGCCTAATTTGTATTAGAATATTTTGGGGCAACCCGTATAAAGTGCCTAATTTGTGGTAGATTTTTGCGTATGTGTTATTGAAAAATGAAGGATTGGTTACTTGTAGGTTTATACAATGTCTATGTCAACGACCATCGAAGTGTTAACAACGACTCGCTTAGTACCGCATCACCACCAAATATATAACTGGAATTATCCTTCTCTTATAATGATATGCCATTACTTTCCTTAGCACTCATATACTTAATATGAATAATTTCGAACTTCCGGGTGACTTTGTACTGCATATATCGCCCAATATATGAGTTGTCCCAATGAAAATAAAAATGTATATTTTAATCATAAAACACTGTTTTGTGCTTAAAATGAATAAAGCTTGGCCTAGCTCGTAAATAACTAATTTCAGAATTTTCAATCATCCGGCTGACTATTGTATGTGATTGGTTTTACACCTTAAAGTATTTCCCTGGTTTTGATTCTTGCAAGTTGCAAGAATATAAAATGTTCGATTACACTCGAACTTAGCCCTTTCTTACTTGTTTATAGATATTGTTGTAGCATGAGTCTGTGATTGAAAGTTCGAAACTGCGATTTGCGATAGCAGTTCGAACCTGTAATTTTCGATAGCAGTTCGAAACTGTGAATTGCGATCGCTGTTCGAACCTGTGTATTGCGATAACAGTTTGATTTTGTGAATTGGGATTGCGATAGCAGATCAGAATAAGCTTGTGAAACTGTGGCATTTCAATAGCACAGTACATGCGATCACAATAGCAAATAGCGGAAAAGTAGCAGCTTTCTTCAGGGTATTGTATATACCCACATATGCGTATATGCTATTTTTCGTCATAGCGGTTTGAATTTTTGAGTTTAAMGTTCTTATAATTTTTAATAATGTCTGGAAATATAGCAAGGAAAARAAGTGAAGTATGGCAGATGTTTGAAGTGGTAGACGAAATATATGCAAAATGCAATATCTGCAAATCAAAAATTTCATATAAAACATCTTTAACATATTTAAAAAAACATAATAGATATCCTACAGTGGAACTACCAGATCAAAAGGTATATATGTAATAATTAAACATTTTTTAATATAAAGTTATTAACTTTTGCTTYACTAATAGAAACAAGCAAATCATACAACTATTGTAATTCAAACCCCCTCTAACTCGGAAGCTACAATAGATATTGATAAGTCAGGAACTTCGAGACAGCCGAACCGCTCCAACATTTGCGCAAATGTAGTGAAAAGAAAGGCGGAAAAACTTGACTCGAGTGACAGGACCCAAAAGGGAATTTGCCGCCAATAACGACAAAACATTTCCATCGTTCCCACGACAGTCGGCCAAACACTGTCAAATCGGCAGAATCAGCCACTACAACAACAAAAGGTCTCCATTTGAAAGTCGACTTAGTTGCGAAATAGCAATATAAAATCACAGTGATTTAAAAATAGCAATCACTGAAACCGCAGATATTGAAAAATCGCAATATCGCTCATCTCTAGTCTGCGCTGTAGCATGAGATTCTAATACGTGGTTGCTTAATCGTTTTCTAAACAACACTGCTGTTCCATCATGTGCCTTTCCATCTGGGTGATTTTTAACAAGGAGTCTAAATCCCGGAATAAAGAAATTATGATTATCTCTTGAATCACATTTTGCTTTATAGACATACATACATACATATGTGAATTGTGTCAAACATTGGATAAGATTCAAAAGCATAATTTCAACATTTCTATTTGTGCAGTGTTTCACGTTTGCAAAACTCTCTTATACATATAGTATTATCTTTAAGATTTAGTGGTTTTGTAATATGTATAGGGATTTCAATATATTCGGTAAATTTACCATTTGGCTATGACGCGCCTGAATGGTGACAGACAATTTCGTTTTAACCTTTATATACAGGACAAGCCCTATAGTTTGCAGTGTGATTTCTTCTACAATTACCTATTATGCTACTAATCCTTTAGAGCTCTTCAGTTGATAAAAGTTGTAAATTTTATTATATTTTGTTATTATTTGACAAGTATTTTACAACATCCATGCAAAATTTTTCACAGTATGTTTGAATTTTAGTTTCAACTACCACACCTTTTTTCAATGGCACAATGTGAAAATTGTTTGTGTCTATTATATTGCTTACTTTGGAGAGGATTGGCAATCCCAACTGTGATGGTACCCTTCGAACCATTTTTAGGCTCTTTGCTCAGTAAAGCAACCCTGTCCCCATTAAGAATTTCTGGCTTTGTACCATTTGGCGTGTCTTATTGCATTTTTTGGTTTTGACTACTGAACATATGGCATTAAAGGAATGCCACGGCATTGCTGGTGAAGCTACTTGCAGAGAACGTATAATGTAGAAAAGGTTCAATTCAAGCGTGTGAACTGTTAAGAGCTAACAAAATCCTATTAGTGGATTTCACCACTCTTGGCTCGGAAGGAACAATTTTAACAGAGATGAGAGAACGAAGCTGAGCATTGAATTAAAATTATGCTCAGAGGCTTGCTTTGATACTACAGCCGCATGTTAGTCTCTTCGCATATGCGTTTATATGGAATTATATTTGTTGATATGAATTTTGTTTTGGAATTTATGGGTAAATTTTAGAATAGCATCCCTCGATTTCCAGGTTAAATGGGTATGCACGGATAGAGGACAAAATATATATATGTATATAGATACATCAAGAAAATATATATATAGTTGCCGCTGACTAATGGTTTTTGAGGTATTTGTATTTAAAGTTAAAAAATTCAACTATTTAAAACGAGTGTAAGTGAAAAAGCCAACATACGTCTGTAATATCACTGTATATTTCTGTGTCTAACTTTCATTAAATGCGCAGTTTTGTTCCCTCATCACTGTCAAAATTTTTCCTTCCGAGCCAAAAATAGTGAAATCCACTAATAGAAAATTTATGGTTATTGACAGTTTACGCAACTGTCCGCAATTGAACCTTCTCTATAATATACGTTCTCTACAGTCGAGCTTTATTTATTTATTATTTAGGAGAAGCTATAGTTRCAATAAACATACATTGACACATACAGTAACAAATAACAAATTACAAACATCTGCTATTGTATGACTCATTCTTAACTTTCGTGGAAACTCCTACCATTGTTTTTGTATTGTTTTCTTCTCAAGAATAGGCGTGGAAGTAAATAACGTTGTTATTTTATCACACTCGGGTGAGTGAGAAACCTCTATAAGCGAGAATGAGGTTGTGCTTTTTAAACTTTCGTTTATCCAGGTTTGACTGTATTTATATTAGTTTCATGTATACGTTGATTTATGTGTTTTATTCGGTAGACAATGATTTTCACTTGGAATACTTTCACGATTTCGTTATACTCCCTCTTTGTTATGTTACATTTTTCCTTACTTTTTTAAAGCTTTTTTTTTATTTTCGATACAAACCTTTATATTTATACATACATATAACATACATATATACTGAATTCTACAATGCAATTCCAGATTTTTCGGGCATAAGGAATATGTTATTGATATGTTTGAGAAATCTCGTCCAATGTCAACGTATAACTTGGGATTTATGATAACGCAAGAAAATAAATTTATCAAATGTAAACGAGAACTAAATGATAAAATGCCAAGTATATATTTAAGGACTTATAGAGATGTACCAGATATGAAACAGGTTTTCCATTAACACTAACACAGATAATTTAGATAAAGATTTTTTAAAATTATTTTTTATTGAACTCTCAGATCTGCGAAAACATATGCAAGATTTATAAAAGTATCGCATTATATTTCAACATTTCGCTACCGGTGGAAAATTTGTATATTATAACTTTACCCGAAGTGTCAACAGTACGGCCGCTAAGCAGTTGGGGAATATTAATTTTAAGGTAATGTGAAAGTAAATCAAAAAAAGTTTTACATTTACTTATTTTTGATAGCGAGAATGACCTGATGCAAATTGGGAATTTTACCTTGATTCAGGAGTTAGTTTACCAATGGGTTGGAGTTTGGAAAACACCTTATTGGTGGAGCGCAATACAAATTAACAAAGCCATTGTAAACTTTGTTGCAGTTGATATCGCATTAGAGGTAAGTAATAAGTAGTCCCAACCAAACGCTAAAAATCATCAATACTTATCATTCTGTACAGAAGAGATTAACACATTCATTTAGTGGTTGATATATGGTCATTATTAAAATAGATGAATTATAATAAGATATAATAAAATACCAACTTTTATTGCAATTCATTCACGATTTCGCATKTTTAAATATAATTGTTGTATTCACAACCTGTCTTAAAAATTGTTWAAAAAAATTTGTTGTTGGATTACATACAAAAATGAGTTTACACATTTACAATTCTCAATACTATGTTTTCGAATCGTTATAACTTATAACTTTAAGAGACATCTGAAAACCCTAATTTTTATTTAGACAAGTGGAAAAAGTTAAAATTTTACGACTTTACGATGCTTTAAGACAGGTTGTGAATGCCCCAAATATAACCAGCATTTTACCCGCGGCTTYGCCCGCAGTGGAGCCAATAAATAAGTTTGAGAGATAAAGGGTAAGGGTATAATAATAGAAATGAGTCAATATGATAACTAAATTTTATTGCTTGGCTGAGATCAACAATTTTTAAAAATTACTACAGACAATGAAGTTTCAACACCTTAAAATATTCGTATTGAAATGCATCAACAAAGGTTAAAATATATTTCACCGTAACAAAAATAAATAATTCTGAGTTCTAACAATTAAAAAAATAAAATACAAAGTATTAATCTAGGCTATTTTTTTAGACAATGTTATAAGTTTTCCCGTCGGGTGCAAATATGTGTAAATTCCAGGCATTAGATACACGTGAGTATTCTACATAAAGTTGACCATGAGAAAAGCATGGGTTTTCTAAATGCACTCCTACTACCTGAAAAGTTTGTCCTTGTGCCTGGTTTATAGTAACAGCGAAGCTAAGCTTGACGGGAAACTGAACCCTTTCAAATTATAATGGAAGGTCAGTGGGAATAATTGGTATCCGAGGTATTATAACCCTATTTCCCTTACCGACACTCGTTAAAATAGTAGCACCAAGTATATTCTGTTCCAATTTTCTGTCCCGAGGAGCATCTAGATTTCGCATAAGCATTACTGGTACATTTAGTTTCAATTGAAGTTTATGTGACGGTACACCCGATAGTTCAAGTGAATTTAAAAACTCCACAGGATATGATGTACATAGTCCCGTATCTATAATTGTATCCATCGACAAATATTCCTTCATTTCTCCTTGAACCTCGTTTAAAAAGTCAGTGTTGATCCTATTCACAATTTCATTTCTTGGTGCTAATATTGCTCTCGCACACAACCACTGATCACTACACAAATTTTGTTGCAATTCCGGAAAAATATTAGCAATGAGATCCACATCACTGTAGAATTCAGCGACAACGCCTAAACAACCATCACCAATTTTTAGCAACATTTCTGCGTAAAGTCCTCAATCCACGTCAATATGAAGATGCACTCTCATATTCGTTTTCAGGCGCAGTTTTCAACTGTCGACCATAAGCTTGATGATTTAATGCACGATTGAATTTCATCTGCTGGTGTCCCCGTCTGAACCACCGGGGGGGTTTGACGGAAATCACCAGCTAATAAAACTACCATACCTCCCATTTGATATGTACTATCTTGCAACTTTACGATGCTTTAATGCTTCTATAGCCTTCTTGTGAGACATTGTAATTTCATCCCATACTAAAAGCTTGCATTCTCGCAGCATCCTACCTCGTGAACTATTTTTGCTAAAATTGTAGACGGGCGAATCTTCCTGTGCCAAATTCAGTCATAATTTTGAAACGAAATGTGCCGTACGACCGCCGGTTAATAGCGTCGCGGCAATACCAAAAACGTTTTTCCAGTTCCTCCTGGTGCGTCGAGAAAGAAGAGTCCACCACTGACGGAGTATATTATACGCAAAACTTGATGGAAAACATGATTTTGCTCTGCAAGTAATTGAGGGACTAATTCTGTCACTTGATGTTGCAGTGCTATGGAATCTCTCGCGCAATTTCATTATCAAAATCATTCCAACCTCATCAAATTTTTTTCCAACCCTCGTAAAAACATTGTTTTTATTATTCTAGACAAGTTTATTGAAAGTAATATCTGTGTGTACTTGCTGCAGTTGATGTGAAATATCTTCGGCCATGTATTCTTTGTACTTATTCCAAAGAGTTTGAGGGTTACAAAGACCGCAAGAACATACAAGAGTAGCGTAAAATTCCTTGATTTTATCTGGCGATCGGCATTGTACAGCTTCCACCATAGTTTCGTTCCAATGATTGTCATTTTCTAACAGTCGCCGAGCTTCAGATGCTTCTCGGTATGTTTGACTTTCCTGACCATTGACAATTTTAAGTTCTGTAAAGCTAATTGGACCTCTAACATGATGCAATAACATGCGCAGACAAATGCATTCAAAATTCGTAACATGTACGGTATAGACACGACCAAGAGCATACGACGCTTTAACCCAAGGTTGGTTTTGAATAGGTGTGCCATGAATACGACGACGCCATTGTTTTTTTGAACTGTTCCATGTATAATAACGGGGAACCTCAGAGTACAATAATGTCTTTGCAAAAGTATCATTCTGACAAAGGTGAAAAAAGGCAGTCATCGTGGTCTTAGAAGGAGATGAAATCCTGTCTTCAAAGGTATTTTCATCAAGAAAGACACGCTGTTCATTTTCTAAGTGTACTGCAAGATGTGTAGCAGTGGGATATTTCAGGTAATGGAAAGCCAAGAAGCCGATATGCCACTTCATTGCTACTGACATATTTTCCTGCTTGATAAGTTTGTATTTCATTGAGGGCCTGTACAGCACCTTCATTATGCAGAATGAAGATCGAATAATCGCTGATATACTTGCAAATATATTTAATTGCACACACAGAACTGCAAGCTTCAACATTAATGTGGCCGTTGAATAATGCACCGATGGTCAATGAAGTTGCTGTTTTGGTTACTAGTGACCCGAGCTCTCCACGAGACATAGTACAACAGGCACATGACAATACAATAAAGATTCTATGATGCTTTGCAGTACCTACCCATTAACATTCAGCAAAGGAGAATCTGGACATAATTTTAATATTCCAGTCATTAATTCAACAACGGGACAACCAATTCCAAATAGAAAAGTTTCCTGCATAGACTTTTATGCGTATTACATGATGTTTCGAGAGCAAGACTTCAACCTTCTTCTGCGTACAAGTCAACATTTTCATCAATTCTTGGGAGATATGTTATTAAGGTAGAGAACGAACGTATTCGTTACATTCCTCTAAACCAGAAAAAATTACGAGATGAAAATTACTTACATTTACAAGATACGATTAGTGCAGACAATAATATCAGACCTATTGACGTTGGGAAAATAGTTATTTTGCCGTCCACTTTTGTGGGACTGTTCGTTATCTCCATGACTACACGCAAGACGCATTTTCTTATGTACGAACTTACTGAAGGCCTGCTCCCTTCGTAACCTTTACCTGTAATCCTTCGTATCAGGACATAACTCAAGTGCTTATGTCTGGGCAAAAGGCCACTGATCGACATTCCCACGTGTTTCGATTAAAAGTCCAAAAGTTAATGAACGTTGTAACAAAAGGAAAAATATTAGGAGACGTCCAGTGCCATATGTACATTGGAATATATATATTGAATGGCAGAAACGAGGTCTACCACATGTGCACATATTAATATGGCTAAAGCAGAAGCTTCTTCTTCACAACTCACCACACCTGTACCTTTACCCACTAAACAAAAAGGATGGACAACAGTATAGAAATTCAATTCCTTCAAAGCAATTCGTCGCACACTATATGCATAGCAACACATTCGTATTAAACTCATCGCACATCAACTTTGGGATTGAACATTACGTAGCGTCGACACCAACTTTCGTATAGTATTTATTTACACTGATTGACAACCATCCTGCGCGCTACGCTCAAATTTTAATCATCATTCGGATACCCCTTGTCCAATCGGCGTGGATATTGATAATACATTCGCACGTGTCGAGTACATTTCTTTTTACATATTATGTGATTAAATGTAAAATGACAAAATTACCTTTGTAAATTAAACTAATTTATATAAAATAAAAAGAGCATTTTTTCTTGCCCCCGTACAAACATGGTCCTTCGAGCCTTAAAGATAGGCACTATAAAATAACAGCCACAAGACAAACCACAAAATTAAACAAAAACAAAACTAGTGCAGTGAAGTGCACTGGCAAACAAAAACAAAAAAAAGTATACCTGTATTTCTATAAATATATGTACATATAGATAGTATAGTACTTAGTAAACAAAAAAAAAAACAAAACAATGACAAACAAAAGTGCAGAACAGTGCAGTGTTTTTATGTGAATATATAATATAATATATATAAAGTGAAGTGACAAAAACAAAAACAAATTACACGGAAAAGCAAAATATACAAATTTAATATATGCAAATATGTATATGATTTAAAACTTGTAATAATACTTGTGGTACATTTTTGGGATTATTGTCTGGGGGGTGAGAAATTTTTTTGTTTTTGCCAAAATGTTACAACTAAGCGAAAAAAACATTAAGATAAGGAAACAAAGGTCATAAAAAAACTGACACATACGAACGCCACATACGAACGTCTTTGAGGGTTTTACTATACTGACCTAGTACCATCACCCTGACTTGGAATTTCTCACCCCCAGATTAGCTGTTGCACTGTGTATTTTGTAGGTAACTGTATGTGCCACAACGTTATTTGAAGTAGGCGACGCATTGGCGGCATATATTACGGTACTATAGAATGTAAATGCGCAAAAAAGCATAGTAAACTGTTACTGAGTGAGGTCTGATCGTATTCTGCGAACAGAGTGAAGAGACTCAGGAACCGTTAGCTACTTTTAGAGAAATGAAAGGATGCGTATATAATTAGGCGCTATGTCCTCGCAGAGTCAGTTCAAGACATAGATAACTTGATACGAGACTCATTTGTTCGAGAGAGAGCTGTCAAAACTCGCATTT